TTATTATTACTTTCTTTCTGCAGACGTTGATAAATGAGGCCCTCGCTGCACATCAACAAAGAATCTACGGGCCTGTTGCATCTGTCAGTTTCCAACAGCGCCGCGGTAAACAGCCATGTTAGCGATGGTCACCCATCGCCAACGGCTGGGCTCTCGAGACGATGAAATCCTGTGAAGTTCCCATTTTCTTCTGTTTCCTGCAGCGAATGACAATAAGCTCTTTTCTGGGGAAACGTGCGTCTGTGAGGGTCACGCCGAGAACTCGAATCAAAACAAATATGCAAATTAGGCACTCGCACAGTGTAGGCAGTGTTGTCCCTTCTGCGACGTTCACCCCCAGTGGAAAAACAAACAGAGCAGCGGATGGATGCATATCTTACAGGCCTGGCCTACATTTCCTGACTAACAAATACAATTTAGTGAGTCCCACAGAAACGTGGAGATATTGTTGTGCACATTCAGGTCGGCAGCGTCTGCGCTCGCCGCTCGTCCGCGCCCCCGCGCTCGCCCCTGGGAACGATCGACTTTTGCTTTACACATTTCGCAATGACGGAAACCACGGCAGCTTGATTCTGACAATTTCACCAACATCAAATACACTACGAGCTGCACAGATTCAGCCGCTGGCTTTTACAGGAGCGTTGAGAGTGGCGTCGGCTGACTTTGTGTCCCCGGGGAGCTTCCAGGGCGCAGATATGCAGCGTTGTAAGAAGTCCTGCGGCAGCACGTCCACCTGTGAGTCCTTTAGGAGAAAGAGGTACGTTTGTGACATCGGCTGCACGCCGCAGTCAGATGTAGTATTCCTTCACGCTGTCTCTGACTGGGTTGTGGAGGTGCAGCTCAGTCCTGTAGTCTGTGTACATGCTGTGTCTGTGCTCCTCTTTGATGTCGCCGCCGCCGCCGCTCCTCTGGGCCCGCCGCTGCTGGTACACCAGGCGGATCACCACAGCCAGCGCGCACACGGTTATGAAGACCACTGCAGTGACCACACCTGGAAATGATGCAGGGAAGGCACGTTAGATGATGGCTGTATGTGTAGCCCTGCACACATTAAAGGAGGGATTCCTGCACGTTTGGTCTGATTGGATGATTTCTTTGAACAGTTCCTCTCAAGGACACCTGAACAGCATCAGCATTTAAAGACTTTACAGTAATGAGAGCACAAGATGTTCTCTGCACAGGAGTATACGCACACTCAAATATTTGCTGCTGAAGGTTCCCGTGTGAAGGCCAAAGTCTAACGACTCGTTATGATTTCCACCGACTAGTTTATCTGTTTATCATGGCAGCATGAAAAGGACTAGTTTGACATCGGATTGATCCCAAAGGTAGCTGAGTGAATACATAAGGACAAAGGCTGTTTCTTCAGGACTTCCAGCATCGTTAGTTAAAACGACTTCACACAAGTGCAACTTATTTGGATGCGTCCCCACAGGTCTGGGAGAAGACACCAACACCAACAACTTTGAATCTGACTGGAATTTACAGCTGCCCATACGGACCAGTCAAGTCTGTACCAGTCTGCTTTGCTACCAGTGGTACAAAGTGGTGGGACTAACTAACTCACCTCAAACCAACTAGTTACTGTAGGCCTTCCCAAACCCAGCTGTGACCTCATTTTGTG